GGTGGTGGGGGTGGGGAGGGGGGAGAATGTTGTTGTAGAACCAGCCCTTGTAGCTTTGCAGCCCTGCCTTTTCCTGTCATTTCCCTCGATTGCCTCCTGCACAGGGTCAGTCCTTGGAGACTTTAAAACCTCTCTGTAATCCCCAAATCCCCTTCTGTCCCAAAGCGGAGAAATTCTCCAGGTTGTTCCACTCTCGTGGTCAGCACGGCCACGTTTCCAGGCAAACATTAAGCTCAGTGCTCCACACCAACTTGTTTAGATTTTAAAAAAGTGTCTCTGTTACACAAAAAACCAGGTGACAACATCAAGAGAAACAAAAACAGGCAAAGAAATTCAAGTCAGATTCTCAGTCACAACTAAGCATCACTAGCTTTAGTTTTTTCACATTTCATTCTAGTCTTGTTAACATCTACATAATTAACCATGGGGTAATGACAACTGATGCCCATTTTGCAATTTGATAGTATAACTTTTGCATAATGTTCAAAATGATCATTTCCTCTCAGCATCACTGTGATATAATTAACAAATATAATTAACAAATAACATTATGGAAGGTTAAGGTGCACACTGTGTTGATTTGATACATTTATATATTGTAAAACGATTACCACCATAGCCTTAGCTGACTCCTTCATTATGTGACATAATTAGAATTTCCCTTCTGTAGTGAGGACATTTAAGATCTACTCTCTTGAGCAACTTTTTTTTGCAATTTTCAAGTATGTAACACAGTATTGTTAACTGTAGTCACTATGATGTACATTAGATCCCCAGAACTTGTTCGACTTATAATTGGACTAGAGGCCCAGTGCACAAAATTTGTGCGGGGGGGGGGGGCGGGGAGGGACCCGCAGCCCAGCCTGCACCCTCTCCAATCCGGGACCCCTGTGGGATCAGGCCTAAATCAGCAGTCAGACATCCCTCTTGCATTCTAACCACTCGCCTGCCTGCCTGCCTGCCTGCCTGATTGCCCCTAACCCCTCTGCCTGCCTGCCTGATTGCCCCTAACTGCTCCGTCTGCCTGATCGCCCCAACTGCCTCTGCCTTGGCCTCTGCCACTGTGGCTTTGTCTGGAAGGATGTCCAGAATGACGTCCAGAAGGTCGTTTGGCTGCCCGGTCTAATTAGCATATTATGTTTTTATTAGTATAGATGTTTATGCACTTTGACCAATATCGTCCCTGTCCCCAAAGCCCCTGGCAACCATCAATCTAATGTCTGTTCTATGCATTTGGGTTTTCTGATTCCACATATATGTGATATGAAACAGTATTTGTCTAAAACGATTATGATCACCGATTGTGTAATATTCCACTGGACAAATGGACACACTTAAGTGGTCATTTAGGATGTCTTTCCCCTGCCTTTCCCTCTCTCTCTCTCTTTCTCTCTCTCCCCCCCCCCACTTCCCTTCGGCTACATTTCTAGAACTGGAACTGCAGAACTGAAATCCTTTCTCCTTTCTACCCCACCCCCCACAGTGACATCACACCCGTGTTGTCAAGGGAACAGCCTGATAGGTTCCCTTGACAGAGAGGCGACATCATCATTTCCCACAAACTTAAATTAATGATCAGTGGGTGAAACCGTGAGGGAGGTGAGCTCCTTGGGGCTGTGACCAGAAAGCTTGGTGGGGCTGGATTTGCCTGAGGGCCAGCGCCAGCCACCCCCGTGCCTGTTGGTGGAAAGAACAAAGGAATGAACGAGAGAACTTGAGTGGCACCTCTCCTCCCCGCCACCACACACACACACACACACACACACACACACACACACACACACACATTTCTTTCTGTTCGCATTTTGACTGCTCACTTAGAAAGATTATTAAGTTTACCTGACAAAGCTGGATCCCCAACATAGAAAGTGCGTTTATGTGTTTGAGATGACAAAGCACCGAGACGTGGTGAGCATTTGCCTTTTCTTTCTTTTTTTTTTTAAAAGTCTTTTTTAAAAAAAATATATTTTACTGATATTTTTACAGAGAGGGAGGGAGAAGAAGAAGGATAGAGAGTTAGAAACATCGATGAGAGAGAAACGTCGATCAGCTGCCTCCTGCACATCCTCTACTGGGGATGTGCCCGCAACCAAGGTACATGCCCTTGACCGGAATCGAACCTGGGACCCTTGAGTCCGCAGGCCGACGCTCTATCCACTGAACCAAACCGGTCAGAGCAGCATTCGCCTTTTCCTGGCTTTTCTCAGCAGCATCCTCGGGGCTAGACTTCTGAGGCCGCCGAGGCCAAGAGAAGTAAGGTCTCTGGAGGAGGGTCTGTGGTTCTCGGCCGGTGCCTTTATGTTTTGTGTTTTCAACTTTCCTTACAGAAAACTCAAGCAGCCACAACAGCAGAGAGATTTAGTGAACACCCGTGTACCCATCACCCAGCTTCAGCAAACATTTTGCCTTTCAGGTTTCATTAACGCAAATCCTGGGCATGGTTTCTCTTTACTTGTAAATACGTTAGGAGGCATTTCATAAGGAGGGGGGTGTTGTTTTTTCTTTTTGTTTAACGTAAGTACAATTAATCATCTCAACAAAATTAGCATTCATATTATCTAATACCCAGACTGTTCAATATTCTGATCGTCTCAAAATGTCTTTTCCGGCTGGTTTGTTCAAATCAGGATCCCAACCGAGCCCACACTCTGCACTTGGTTGCTTCTCTGAGTCTCTCTCCTCTATATCAGTTATCTTTTTCTGAAACAAACTGAAACAAACAAAAAACGTTTGTATTGATTTCAGAGAGACAGGAAGGGAGAAACATCCATGTGAGAGAGAAAATGAGCTGGTTGCCTCCCGCGGGCACCCCAGCCTGGGATTGAACCCACAACCTGGGCATGTGCCCCGACCGGGAATTGAACCGGTGACGTTCT